CCTGCAGTCCCTGCAGCGACTGCAGCTCTGCCTCTGCCCATCAGGAGCAGCAGGAGGGTCTCTGTCTCCAGGGTGCTGGGCTGACAGCCTAGGGGACCTTGGCAGAACGCGAGACGTCACGCCCAGGGACTCCATACTCACGCTGATGCCCAACGATACAGTGAGCAGCCAGGAGCTTTAGCGACGGCACCTCAAACAACGCCTGGTGGAAAAGGAGCTCCCGGGCAGTGGGGCGCTTGCTGGGGGCCTGCTCCAGACACTTCTGAATGAACTCCTGAAAGACAGAGACTCTGTGAGACCACGTGCAACACCCACACGTCTGCAGGGCGCCAACCCCCCCTCGCTCACCCTTTGCAGGGGGTCCTCCAGCAGCTGGATGGCACTATTAATGGCCTCCTGCGGCACATACGACGACTCTCCGTTACCCTGTATTTCCAGCACCGCCATCTGCAAACACAGAGCAGCGCATCAGACTTCGCTGAGAAGGGCTGACCACCGCGAGCCGAGAGCAGGGAGACCACCGCCACGCGTGCGAACACAACAGCCGGGTTGTGTGGTGCTATGTAGGGTCACCGCTTGTGGAGGCAGGGAGACCAACTGCCTCGTTACGGCAACTTGCTGCCAGCACCCAACAGACTGCCAGGGAGACCTGGAAACTGTGCCAGCGTCACCTCTCCATTCTGAATCTCATGATCCATTGGCCCGTCCTTCTGCTTGATAATTCCCATCCTCTAACGAAGCAGTAACTGGGTCACGGCCAGAATCTGACAGCGTCCCTCCTGGCTGCGTTACAGGCAGAAGAGCAAGCACACAATGCCATCCGGAACTGGCTCCAGCCAACACACACACACATTCCCAGCTCGGAAATGCCGGCAAAAGATTCCAGAGGATGTCTTAAGACCCCCTAGAAGGTGAGGGTTGTGCTCCGTGTCTATCGAGTACAGTTGGTGCAGTGACTGTTCCCACCAGCCAGTGGGTCAGACGGCAGAACTGGACCCACAGTATGAATCACACACCAGGACTTCCATAAAGAATGACACGTTACCGAGCAGTTTACTTCTCAGCAAGGAATCTGGGGGAGCCCCGGCAGGGATCCCTCCACGGCAAAGTGCCTTTGGCTCGGAGAACAAAAGGCCCGCGTTACCGAGCGGGCCCACCCGTAAGCACAGCATCTCCACAGAGCCCCCTTCCCTCCCTCAAACCCATTCTCTGTCCCATGCTCACCTCCAGTGCACACATCCCAAAGGAGTAAATGTCCACAGCGGTGGTGACGTTGGCAACCTCTGTAACACAGAAAGAACACTGTTATCAGCCCACCACCTCTGTACCAGGCTGCAATAATCCTGCAGCCTTCTCTCCCTTCTCTGTTATCAACAGACAGAGCACTTGGAACATTTAAGCAGGCAAATAACTCAGAACTGTTAAGGGGATCCCTCTCATGAGCCTGCAGCTGAAAAGAAGAGGCAGAACGGTGTGGAAAGCCAACAGAACCAGGCTGGCAGCTGCAGCCACACCATACCTCCGTATTCTGGGGCAAAGAAGTGCAGGTTCTTCTGCTCCTCGCGACAGGTCTTCACGTGGTTGTTAATTGTGTCCGGTGCCACTAGAAGAAAGTCACGGATGGTTAGGATACAGGAAACCGTAGCCCATCCCTAACTAGATCCCAGGGAACACGTGCAGCTCCAGGGCCCTGCGGTGCACAAAGGGGTGGCACGGTGCAGGTAAGGTGCCCCCAATCAGTCCCTCATCCCAGGTCACCCACCCCGATCAAGTTCTCTGTTGTTCCCTTGGCTGCAGATCGTCTACGGCAGCTCAGCATCACTCTGCAGGAGCAAACCTGGAGACCACGGTTCCGCTGAATGGGAAGACAGGCTGGGAAGGGCTCCCCATTGAAGCACAAGCCCTGAAGCTCCTAACTTAGATCTGCAGCGTTGGTCACAAGCAACTCAGAGGCTCTCAGAACAGCCAGAGGTGCCGAGATCACCACGATTGGTCACCCCCTCAGGGCTCAAGGAGAGGGACAGACGTACAAGGCACCCTTCCACGCATCAGCAGGGCACTGGGGACAAAGTGCCTCGAGACAGAAGTCACGCGAAGCCGCTGGATGAGGAGAGACAAGCACCCGACAGCACCTCCACAGCAACAACCACGGACCACCCTGCGCTGCGGGGAGGGGAAAACTGCCAGCCACAGGAACCACGAGCAGAACAAGGGTTGAACCCCTGCAAAAGTTCAGTCTTCAGGACAGCAAACAGCTCTCCAGAACAGAGCAGCTGGCTCCAGCAGGAGAAACACGGAGGTGGGCAGGGAGCAGAGTCACCGTCCCACCGAAGCCCTGCTTCCACCCCTGAACATGCCCGGTCCCGCAGCCCCGGGCCCATCTCCCACCTTGGTGTGCAAGCCGCTTTGCACAGAGAGAGGCTGGAGAGGAGCTTTGCCTGAGCACATGTTTTAAACCCAACTCTGAACTGCACAAGGTGAGAACACATGCTCCAAGGTACCTCTGACAAGCTCTTCTGACCTACTCGCACACGGGTGCTCCCTGCCATCCACCACTGTATCTAGCGAGGATCTCAACTCTGAGTGATCAGATGTGTGAACGCTAACGACAGTTACGCGAGACAAACAACAAAGGTCAAAAAGGAAAGCCAGATCACCAACATGAACAACGAACGTGCCTTCCTCAGCCAGAGAACAAGGCGGCGAGGAGGAGACCACAAGACCCAGCACCCCACGGCTGATCAGTTTGGCAGGGAGTTAGCAGAGCAAAGATGAGTTTCAGAAAAGGATTCAGCCAAACGAGGCGTCCGTGCAGGGCAGGTGATTGGAGGAGACGTGAAGTGCAGCAGAAGGCAGGACAAGCAGCTTGTCTTTGGCAAGCTGAACTCAATCCGACAATAAAAAGAGACATATGCAGCACTACTAGAGGAACACGCAGAGCTTGCTAGACTTCTCCAAGCCTCAAGGACACGTTAGAGCAAAGAGCTGCCCAGGGTAAAGAGAGCTCACCACAGCGCCCGCCAGCCGTTACGGGCGCCGGCCAGGAACGCCCTTGGAGGCACCACTGCCCAGCTGTACCAGCGGCAGGCTGCAGCAGAGATGTCCCATCACACAGCTACCTGCCCTCTGAAGCGCTGCACGCTGCAGAACACGTTCTCCACGTGTCCCCTGTCCCCTTCACACCCACCTTTGTCCTTCACTGAACACCTCCTCCTGCCCCCAGTCCTTCCTCTCCTCCCGAAGGAGCTGCCGAACCTCTCCTTGGTGCTCTCTGAGGCAAGAGCCTGTTACTCCCCTCTTTAGTGAAATGCCCAAGTACCCGGATTTCAGCAGGCTCAGAAAGCAGAGGAGAACAAGATGACAGCGAGAAGGATCAACAACTAACCTTCACGATCAGTCCCAGGCTTGCGATGCAATCCAGCAACAGGGGACGATGAACCACCGTACCCACACTGCACCGAACCTGCACCACAGGGGCCCAAAAAGAATCAACCGAATGCAAGATTTTATGGTTTGCAGCTATAAAGAGATGGCCACGGGGCCAGGAGAGGTGTAAGGCCACATTATTATTCCTGCACTCATATGCTCCAGAGATTTTCACTGCTGCAAAAGGGTACAAGACCGCACGAAGCCAAGACATTTCAGAGTTCACTGCATCTCACGCAAAGATGACAACTGCATTTTTATTAGGGAGGGCAAAGCTGAGCAAATAAGCAAGTAGGAAGCTACTGGAAACAAAAACCAGTGAGTCAGACAGGAAAAGCAGGGGCAGATCTGAGTTGATCACAGAACACTAGCACCCCACAGCCCTGCAGGTCCGTATCGGGGACTGTAAACAGTGTTTGCAAAGTTATTTACAACACTGAGTCACCAGAAGCAAGAGGATTTTATTATTCCTAACAGTTGAGTATCTGCTGAGATTAAAGGGCAAAGAGGTTCCGATATGAAGAGTTCACTACACGGTTCCCAGAGCCAGCCAGTGGGCACTACAGAAAGGAGACCAGCTCCCTGTTCCTCCTTCTGTCCCATCAGGCATCCACACACACCGAACGATCCCTGAGCCTTCTCCTCTCCTGGCCACGCAGCCTCAGCTCTCGCAGCCTCTCTTCGCACGGACGGATGCTCCAGCCCCGTGCTCCTCTCCGTGGCCCTGTGCAGGACGCGCTCCATAAGTCCGTATCTTTCCCGTCCTGCAGAGCTCAGTCTAGACGCGGCGCTCCGGATGTAAATACCTCCCCAGCTTGTGTTCGAGGGAGCTTTCAAGAACTGGCACGGAGGAGCCTTGTAAAACGCTGATGTTCACGCACCTTCAGTCAAAGGACCCCGAAAGGAGCAGACAAACGCAGCCCCTGTACTGACACTAAAATGGGGACCGGAGACTGGATGACTGCAAGACGTGTCCCCTGACACATCCTGGAAATCCACATAACGGCAGAGAAAAAACACAAACCAGCAACGCTGAAGCAGCAGAAGCCTTCCACGCAACAGTGCAAGAATAAATCTGACCATAGAAAAGGCAAGTTCACATAACCCGGAGCGCTGAACTGGGAAATTTAAGCCTTTTCAGAAGGTGCTATTCAACTGAAAACGACAACCAGCCTAGAAGAGAGCTGTTTGTTGTGTTTTCATGAATGAGGTGACTCAAAGCAGCACAAAGAAGGTGCACTGAGCAAGGAAGGCAAGCGCATGGAGCAAGAGACAGCTTTCAAACCTTCTGCAAAACAAAAATGAGAGTTTATTACCATCACAGCACAGCAGGAGGCAAATCTGTCACGTATGCATTCCACCTGGTGACTTTGCAAAAAGGGCAAAGACACCCATTCTTACCACTAAATCTGACTTAAAAAAAAAACCAAACCCACCACCCTCACCCCAAACACACACTCTAAATCACAGCACACACTCCCTCAGGCGTTAGCGGCAATTTCAAACACTACCCACAGCCATCAGAAGCCCTCTGATTGTCACTTACCTAGGACTGCTCGCATGTATACAGAATATACAGGATATACACCAAAACCAAGGCAGGTCCCTAGTCACCATTCTTGCCCCTCTAGCAACCCTAACAGCAGCAGATCACGAGGTGCCTGTCAATTTTTTACAATCAGAAATTAAGCTTGTGCTGTTCCACCCCGTTTGTTCCACAGAGTTTCTCAGGAACAACCCAAATGTGAAGAATCCTCCCTTTACGACAGGCTTGTACACCACTGGGAGCCTCACAGACACCCCAGACCAGGGTGAGACACAGCCTTTAACAAAAGTAACGCCCCTACCTACCACTTTGGGCTTTCTGAAGCATTCTGGGCAAAAAACGTTCTGCTCAGAACCGTTCATCTGCCAGATCTCACTCCCAGCAGCATCTCTGGCCAGAGACAAACCTTTTTTTTCCTTGTGAAGGTCTGCCTTAGCTTTGCCAAGTTTTTAAGCAACTGAAAATCAGCTTGGTGGAGGACGTGCTTGACTCTGCAAATAAAACTGTACGACTAGAAGCTGAACTACATAAATTCATGTTAAATCTTCCCAGATGAATGCCAACATGGGTGAAAATGTTTTCTATTTTTACAATAGATTTTTCTATGTCCGCCGATTTCACCTATCCACTATTTTTTCTCTAAAACACGCTTGCCTTAGTTAAAAAAACCAAACAGCTCCAGGATATCCGAGTAACCCCTATTTTATTTCTACATAACCTGTAAAGTGTCTCAGGTGTCTGCCACGGATGTGAAAAACAGCATGACAAGTTCTTAAACATCAGGTAGCAAAACCCAAGAGAGTGAAGTAATGACTGAAATAAGATCAGCTACGAAAGCACGTCACTCACAACCTTGTTAGCTCAATGCTCCAGTGAAATAGGAGCCTTATACCCTGTATTTAGTGCTTTCAAACCCAAATCACTGTTCAAGATCTAAGGATTAAACTATTTCCACCTCTCAGATGAACAGCACACAGTGATACAACCATCCTGTTAGAACTCAATGTACCTCACTCCTGAAACTCCTGATGCCACAAGCCCTGACCCCATCACCATCCCCTCAGCTGCGCAGGATCCCTGATTTAGCTTTTTGGGAGAGCCTGGACCCTGCCGGTGGCGCAGAGCGGCACGCCAGGGCGGCACAGAGCCCCTGGGGCCAGGCTCTTCCCTTCCCACTGCTCCCAGCGGACAGCCAGCAGGTTCCCAACTCAGTGGAAACAAACTCTAACCCTGCAGAACAACCCTGATGGAAAAAATAAAATAATTACTTTAAATGTAAATGCAGCGTTATGTTTAATAGGGTTACACACTGCAGCACTCCAATCCCTCTCTAGCCCCGGCAAGCCCAGCTCCCTCCTTGTTTGCACCAGTCTCCCCAAAACCAGAGCTTGTCCAAGGAAACCCAGCCGTGAACCTCACTTCATTTGCGCGGGACGTCTCTCTGGCCATCGGGAGCCAGAGACGCTCACTGAACACTCATCTTAAAAACAAAACATCTAAGGATTTAAAACTACAAGCAAGCAATCGGGTAGCCAAACACAAAGCACGGGCTGGTCCAGGTCTAGCAGAGCAGCAGCGGGAAGGAGCCCAATGGATGTGAACGGTTCAGCTGGGACGGGCTCGGAACAAGGCGCCCGCTCGGCTGGACATGCGGGAGCCTGCATGCACGGGGCCCGTGGACTAGCACACTCTACAGACATGGAGAGGAGGAGAACTAACAACCGGGAGACTTCACGAAGGGCAGCGCTCCCTCTCTCTAAGGCTCTGGCTGCGAGCACAGGGGATGGTTGGCATCCCAGCATGGAACACAAGGTCTCAAAGCAGGATGCACCTGAGCCCAGCGGTTTACACACCAGCCTTATAGCAAGGGAACGCTGTATAGATAAATTGAGTGTGTATGTTTGTGTGTGCTACAAATACAGACACACACGCATATATATAAATATATACATACACAACAAATAATGTACACTACATACAGCAGCAGTCACATCACAGGAGCGGAGAAGTTTGCTCACCATTAGCAAATATCCTATGAAAGACTGTTGGTAACAGAGCAGCCCGTAAGCGGGAAGTAAAACGAGACAGAAGTCAATGAGTTGATGAAACAGCAAGCACTTCACATCGAGAGAGACAGCTCGGTCAGAGTCACGGCAAAACACGGACAGTGGAGAATCTGCCCTGCCTCCAGCCACCCTTCTAAAATAAATTTACCCAAGGAACATCAGTGTTCCTAACTGAGAACCAGACTGGGCAAGGGAGACAAGATACCTGTGACCATGCAGAAGATTACAGCCAACTCTGAGGCTAAGAAACGGGAAATTCTGCTCTTTCTGCGAGTGCTCTACAGTCCTTTAGCACCCCTTCAGCAGACAACTACCTTTCCCCACATCCCAGCAGCCTCTCCTGGGCACGGATCTCGGCAGCAGAACCTGCACTGGCGCACCTGGACACACAGTTTAACGGCAGAGCTAACACCGAGCCAGCCTCAGTCTCCTGGCACCTTGGCCTGGAACTGCAAAGAGACCGGAGAGGCTGCAGTTAAACACACAATGAATCCTAGAGCCAAGTGTGTTGTGAGAGGAAAGCACAGGCACCAGCCAGGAGCCCAGAGGCACTATTTGGAGATACCCCAGCACAACGCCCAGCTTCCCCCTGCGCTCTGCTCGACCTCTCACTCTGCCCATGCCAATACACTGCCATGTCCCGGGGCACCAGGAGGCGTCACAAGATGTTCCAGTGTGAGGGCTCAGCTCTGTTGGGGCACTCCAGCCGCTGCCCAAAAGGATTTTTAATTCAAACCCAAAGCTGCTTTCCACCTATGCCTAGTTCTCACACTCCCAACAAGAATGAAAGGAAACATCTCCCAGCACTGCTCAACGGAAGCACGCAGCAGCACGGAACACCCTGTCTCAACGCTTCCTTCCCCTCCGCACCCAGAGTGCCTTCAACCTGTGGAACGCCTTGCGACACGCTCCCCGTGCGGGTCCACTTGTTCGACAATGCAGCCGTGGTGCTGCACGCAGATCCTGTGGCAGAGCACACAGGAAACAGCTTGGGGCTCTCACCAGGAATGTTCTCCTCTGACCACAGCTCCAGAAAGCTGCGGAACATCCCAGTCTCTGGGAACACCAGTGGCAAGCTGAAGAACTGCAGGTGTCTTTCCTGTCCTCACCACAAGCTCTCCAAAGCTCCCCACTCCTCTGACACTTCTCCTCCTTACATCTATTAACCTGCACTTCATGGCGCTGAGGAAAAAAGTCAGTAAGTTAATGGATTACGGCTGGGGTTTGCATTTCAGCAGTGTGAGAATTCCTCGCTCCTTCCCACTCCCTTTTTCTTCCACAGATGACCCCCAACACACAGATTTCATCCTTCTTCCCAAAACCCAATGCAGCAGCAACACCCTACTGCTAAACCAACCTCGTTCCTTCCCGCAGCGCACAGGTGGCTCTAGGAAAAAAAATCCAAAACCGACTGATCCAGAATGATGTGCAGAACAAGAAAAACAGCCGTCAGTCCTGCCAGTGCGCGTGGTGCTGTGATCTGAAGCAGCAGCAGGGAGAGACGGGCGAAAGCGCTGCTCCCATCCCACAGAGTGTCACAGGAACACCAAGTCCCAGCCGCTCCCGACGTGACCCAAGTCACGGGCACCGCTCTCCTGGTACTCCCTCAGCCAGCAGACAGAGGGATGTTCTGCAGAACACACCAGCAGCTGTCTTTCCCCAGACTTTTGCCCACATCCAGCAAGTGTTCTCGTTTGCTTAGAGGGAAGACGAGCTTTGGGAAGCGCAGCCCAGAACGGTCCTGGGGACAGGCAGGACCAAAGAGCAGATCATAGCGCACTGAATCGTTGTTCCCCTTACATCCACAAGAATACTGCCCTGCTGCTTTTACGTAAGCACAGGAAAGTTTTCAGATACCAGCGGCTGTAAGAAATAGCTCCATGAAGCAATGAACATGTGCCTAACGCTGTCAGTGACCCCAAAGCGACTGTGGCTCTAGGGCCCCAAGAGGAAAAAGCCGTCCAGCTGCTGCCCGCCCAGCGGTACTGAAGAACCTCGAGCCCGAACACAGCCAGCAGCCCTGACACCGCAGTTCTGACCTCCCAGCTGAGTGGGCACTCATACACTCTACAACACTGGCAGCTTTAGTTCCTGCGCTGAAGCCACAGCTTTTGTCTCTGGACAATTCCTCTTCCGACCGCAAGTTCCCTTATGGTCACTTCCTTTTTCTACTTAAGAAAGGACCAGAATCCCCCAGATAAACCACTTCCCTTCTGAACACGAGGTGAGCGAGGCAGCTTGCTTCTCCTGGGAGCAGAAGAAAGTTTGCTGGGAAACAACCGCAATGAGCCCTGCTCCTGCACAGCCACACGTCGTCTGCTCTTGCTGAGGACACAGAGCACACAGACACCTGCGGTGCTCGCAGAGAGCCCGTGGTCTGACCGTCTCTGTCCATCCCACCACGCCTGACGGCAGCAAAGCTCTGTGGAACTGGAGGGAGCAGGCAACGGTGCGACTCTGCTGAGGCAACTGCTTGTGACCCACGCTCCAAGAGCCACCGTTCTTCTGGACACCCTCCGAATGG